TACGGTGGTCGGAAACGAAAATACGGTGGAAGGGTCTCATCTTCCTCGATTGGTGTATTTGGATGCTGTTGTAAAGGAGACACTTCGTCTTCACCCGATTGCTCCCTTGCTTTTACCTCACGTGCCCTATGAAACCTCCATTGTTGCGGGATACACCGTTCCAAAACATTCCAGGGTTTTCATCAATGCATGGGCCATGCAGAGGGACCCCAGGCTTTGGGACGATCCTCTTGGGTTTCAACCCGAGAGATTCTTGAAATCCAATACTGGTTACCCCAGGAATAATTTCGAGTATTTGCCATTTGGGTCAGGGAAGAGAATTTGTGTTGGGGTTGCATTGGCTGAAAAAATGGTGCTGCTCCTCTTGGCTGTGTTGGTGCATGCTTTAGAATGGAAATTGCCGGATGGGAGGAAGCCTGATATACATGAGAGATTTGGAGTTGTTTTGAAGAAAATGGAACCACTTGTTGCCATACCCTTTGCTCGACTTTCTAATCCCCACCAATACCAATAAACATTTATTTGGTTTTGTCATAAATTTAAATAATGATATTGATTGTACAAATCACGCTACTTTAGTAGTTAAAAGGTGATTATTATATTTAGAGTTCTCAGGTTTAAAAATTAGAGACTTCAAGGATATTTAAGCTTACATTGTCAAACGATTAAGAATCTTTAAAACAAATATTATCTTGTAATCATCCTAGGTAAATAAATAATAATGATATATATATCAATATGTGATAATTTAATTCTAATGAAATAAATATATATTAAAAAAATTTAATTATATGTATTCATTGAAATCCCTGTCAGATGGTTAAAAAAATTCAAGCCTCGCCCACCATTTGTGGTGATGGTTTGATTGAAAGCTTATGTATATTTCAATACTTTGAGGTATTCCATGTTGACATTTGACATACCTTTTTTCAAAGGAAAAAATTAATCCCTAATTAAATTTTGATTTATATGGCTAATTTCTTGAGGGAAAAATCTTTGGATACGATCTATTATTTTTTAGAAATTTCAAAGTATAATTAGAGAGATGACTATCTAGCTCAGTTGGTAGAGCACAAGGTTCTTAACCTTGAGGTCGTGGGATCGAGTCCCACGGAGGGCATTTCATAATTCGAATGTCTTCTACGGAAGTTGCTTCCAACCTGGTGTTGGGGCAGCCTACTATCTTACCTCCCCCTTACCCCATTAGGAACAAGGGACATCCATTTTTCAAAGTATAATTAGAAGTACATACAATACGCATTCGAAGAATTACTATTAATATTAAACACAATAAAATATGATTGGATTATTAGATTATAACAATGATCATATTTAAATGCGGGTTTCTTATGTTTGTTAGGCCATTAGACACTTACAATTTAAATAAATTTAGACATACATAAAAAATCACAATGATATATTTAAAATTAAAATTTGAACTTGAAATGTCAACATCGACAAATCGTAAAAGTTCAACCATACCGACAAATATTTTACAAAGTCTGATAATTATAATTTTTTTAATAGTTTGAGATGATTATAAATTAGTATTTGTTAATGATAACGCACGCCCATTATGAAAATATAGTTGTTCAAATTCAAAACCTCAATGAAAAATAACACTTTTTTTAACTGCTAAAATTATTAAATGAATTGAAGTGTAATAATTATAATTAATAATATAGATGAATTAATAGAAATATTCTAGAAGTTTGAAATTTGATGCACAATAGTTAAAATTGACTTTGAGTTCTCATAGTTGGTTACGTGAGTTACGGGGTATAGATTGTGTGGATGTTATTTATCAGTTGAATTAAAATCTATATAATACCTATTTGCACAGTTTTTTTTTAACTTCTTTCATATTAATAAAATTATTATAAAATTATCTATATTTTTACACTTTAAGGGTGTATGAACGTTTAATCTTAAATAAATAAATAAAATTAGAAATTGACAGGGAGAATGCATGCGGCTACAAACCACTTGATTGGTCTAAGGAAGAAAGGTCAACAGATAAGGTGGTGTAAGAAATTAACAAATGCCAACTACATTGGGAAATTTTGTCATTGTTGCAACTATATAAAACCGGTCGGAAACGCTGTTGGAAAGAACTACATATATCAATTTCTTCTACCTTCGATCTTCGAAAACTGAAACCCTAAAGATGCTCAACTTATACGAAAAGCTCACAGTTCTTGCCTGTGAAGGTTGCTCATGGAGCTGTCACGCCCACACCACAGCGGCGGTGCTAGCAGTATTCTGCTTTGCATGGTGGTGGGCTAAGAAATTCACCAGAATAATCCCTCCGCTGCCACCTGGTCCTCCATGCTTGCCGATATTAGGAAACCTTCCTTTCATCAAACCTGAATTACATCGTTACTTAGCCGAGTTGTCTGAAATCCATGGTCCCATCGTCAAACTTCAGCTGGGGACAAAGACTTGTATTGTCATAAATTCACCTTCAATTGCCAAAGAGGTCCTCAAAGACCACGATGCTATCTTCGCCAACCGTGATACTCCTGCTGCCGCCGTATCCGGCACGCTTGGTGGCGTTGACATCGTGTGGAGACCCATTGGCCCCGATTTCAACCGGCTACGTAAGCTTTTTCTTCGTGAGGTCATGAGCAAAAGCGGACTCGATGCTTTCTATGAGCTGCGTCGATGTGAGATTCGACAAATGGTGAAGGATCTTCATGGGAAAATTGGATCATCGGTTAATTTAGATGAACATGTAGCGCTAACCTCAATGAAAGTGATGATAAACATGCTATGGGGAGGTTCATCGGAACGAAACAGTGATTTGATTGAGTTAAGGGAGCGATTAGATGAATTTGTGAGATTAATCGGAACACCAAACGTTTCTGATTTTTTTCCTGTTCTTGCCCCATTTGATTTACAAAGAATTGAATCAAAATAGAAGAATATTGTATTGTGGTTTTATGGGATATTTGAATCAGTGATAATGAACCGATTAAAGACTGCAAATGATGGAAAGGATTTTCTGCAGCAGCTGTTGGAGCTGAACCAAAAAGGAGATGATAAAATCTGTCTATCCAACCACGAAGTAAAGGCTTTGCTTTTGGTAATTAACGTCAACAATTTCTTTTTATTATAATTTTTCTCTTTTTTTAATATTAAGTTTTAACCTCCATATCAAAATTTTTGGACAGGACATGTTGATCGCTGGTACAGATACAGTACCCACTACCGTAGAGTGGGCAATGACGGAACTACTACGACATCCAGATAAAATGACAAAACTCGTCCAAGAATTAGATACGGTGATCGGAGACCAAAACATATTGGAAGAGTGTCATCTTCCTGGACTGATCTATTTGAATGCTGTTGTAAAGGAGACACTTCGGCTTCATCCGGCTGCTCCGTTCCTTTTGCCTCACATGCCTAGCGAGACCACAATTATGGCTGGATATACAATCCCTAAAGATTCCAGGGTTTTAATTAATGCATTGGCCATGCAAAGGGACCCTGAGTTTTGGGATGATCCTCTAGGGTTCCAACCGGAGAGATTCTTAAAAGCCGAGGAGGTTAGTTATCATGGGAATAATATGCAGTATATCCCATTTGGGTCGGGGAGGAGAATCTGTGCTGGAATTGCATTGGCAGAGAAAATGGTGGGGCTCCTCTTGGGTGCGTTGGTGCATTCATTTGAATGGAAATTGCCGGAGGGGAGGAGGCCTGATATACAAGAGAAATTTGGAATTCTTTTGAAGAAAAGGGAATCACTTGTGGCCCTACCCTTTGCTCGACTCTCTAATTCCCACCAATACTATTAGATGCTTAACCAGTAAGTACTGAATTATCTCTGCTTGCTGGAATAACTTACGCTCAATCCTAGAGTCTGTTATGGATTTTAACTTTCCTTTTGGTTAAGAGGTCCATCATGCTTAGTGTTTCAAAAACCAAAACTCAACTTTATGGTGAATAAATAAGCTATTTTCTTTAGAAATATTACAACTTGTTGGTCAATATATTACTACAATACAGACAATAATATTGATTTGCCTCAATCAGTAATCAAGATGGATCGAGGGTGGGTGAGGACAGTTATACCCTTGAAACTTTTTATATTTTATATTTTTTTTAATTTGTTTTCACCTATAAAATTTTATAAATTTGTCACCTAAGATAAAATCATAAATTCATCCTCTAAAATAAAATCATGTGTATGCCGCAATCAATAATTGTAAAATAAACTTCATCTCCTAAAATTAATACAAAGTTAAGTAATACATCTCCATCAGTAATATTTCTTTTCAAAATAAAAGAGCTGAGGACATAGAAAAGAAAATTTAGAGAGTACATATAACTTCTACAGTGGTTTAAACAATAAGCTAAGGCTACCTTTTAAAGTAAAAAAAATGTCAAAAGCATCCAAAAAGAAGAAGGGAACGGTCGGAATCACTATATCATCTTCTCAATAATTTTAACCAGTTTAAAATTCAAAGATAAAATCTAAAAATCGTCTACCATATGGTGTAGAAAATAATTTATTACTTAAACACATGAGCAACATTAAAAAAACATACACAATCCATGTCAAAGACACTTGCAGGCATAAATCAAACGTAAACCGAACAAATGATAGACGATTTCTGTTAATAGGCTTTTAACTACATATGCTTTCTTCGCTGGTACCTACAGAAATCCATTTAATAAACGTGGACCTTTCCTCAATTTTTCCATCCTTGATTGTTTAACAAATGAAATGTTCATTATGTTGGGCCAAATTTAGGTTAAAAGACTGAAAAGTCAACTCTGCTTTGATTTTGATGGAGGTCGACATGGGGTATGTGGACGTTATTTAACCAGAAAATTAAAAAAAAAATCAATCTCTTGGAATTCCTCACTTATGTCAAAAAGGTATTGAATCGAAGGATAAATAATTTAATAGAAAGCTACTCATTTCATGATACTTTAATATCATTCATAAACAGATTGCAATCAGAATCTTAAGAAACAAAATCGAAAACAAAATCTGCAACTGTAACATCCGATGAAAGGCTTCGAATCAAATAAAAACTAGTAAGGTTCCAAAAAAGCAAAGGAGAACATTTAAGAATCTGCAATTGTGACCTCCACCTCAACACCAGGTTCAATGGTGATAGAAGTAATCTGCTTCACCACATCCGGGGAGCTGAAAAGGTCAATAACTCGCTTGTGAACACGAAGCTCAAAACGATCCCATGTATTTGTTCCTATAAAGAACACAAATAGTTACATCAATTGTCCATACAAGTTACTCATGTTACATGAAAATCTTAGCACACCCTGCATGTCAAACCCCAACCATAACCTATACAGACTATCATATTCATGGGTAAACCGGTGGGCATCCAACTTAAAGAAAAAAATTTCCATATACACTCAATTTATGTAGGGGGAAAACAAGAAAATATCAACGAGTAGCTCAAACATTGAAAACTTCTGCTACCAAAACAAGTTCCCTGTGTTTAAACATGAATAAAGGAAGAAAAGGCAGTCTTTAGTGATTGTTCCAATATAAAATAATAAAAGGGTATGGCTGTACAATTCAAAATTAGGGTAAAGGGCAGAGAGATCATATACATATACCCCTTTTATGTTTCAAAATTTGCTTTCAAGATATGAAACAAAGGAATCAATTAGCACCAGCAACAAAATATCATCAGGACGTAAGATGCAACGCAAGTAAATACCTTCACCACAGGGAGACTTCCTTGTAGTAATGTGAAGAACCTTGGTCGGCATTCTTACCGGTCCCTTAACCCTCAATCTCTTATCCTTGGCACCACGAACCAAGTCAGCACAAACTATCAGTCGAACAGAAATAGATTAGAATTGAACCAATGCTATGGGCATCTCAATTGAATTCAATCAACCAAAAAAACACCATCTTTATTGAGAAACTTCCTATACAAAATCGAAGAAATAACAAAATTCTAGGGTCAGAAATCACAATAAATGAAATATAATCTGTACCGTGTACAAAATATTGCACCTTTCTCGAGGTTTTTCACATTCTTAGAGGAGAGAGTGATCCTAATCTTGTGAATCTGCTCCTGAGGCTCCTCCAATCCAGGTTTGGTCGGCTTCATTGCAGCATAAGCCATGATTCTTTACCTTTTTCTTCTATTCAGAATAATTACATTCCAATTAAATGAAAATAGATCCCATCCACATGTAAATCACAAAATCATTGAAATAAGTTGCAATATGAGTTTCAATAACTAAGTTAAAAACTGAGAGAGAGCGTATCAAAACTTCCCCCGTATTCCGTACATAGCTCAAAACCCGTAATTACTTTTGAAAGGTAATAAATGAACTCAAATGCAACAGACTGATTATCATTTTCCGATGATAAATAAAAATCAAACATCTCCAGCCAGTGAATAAAGATCCAAGGCCCTACTATAACGGAAGCTATTCACACATTAAAAATACAAAGAAAATGGGGGAGAAGTAGGTGAGAAACCTGAAGACGTGAGAGAGAGTGCCGCTGCTGCCTCTTTACTCAAAGAACGATAGAGAAAACTGGAAGAAATCTTTGTAGACGATATATATGTGAGGCGACGAGCTTAGAGTTAGGGTTTCATGTCGAACTTAACTGGATTTGCTGGTTGGATTAACTGGGCTCCATGGATAAGCCCACTAAAACATGCTGGTTTAACTCGCGTGTTTCTTTCCTTTTGTTTATTATATATATTTTATAACCATCAATATTCGATTTATTAATTGACTAATCTTAATTGCTATAATCCTCTTAACCTAATTTCATTCATCCATAAATACCAAGATTTGAATAATTGACCTTACTTAAAGGATTTAGTACCTTATCACACTAGATCAACTAGTTGTTGGTTCCTTTTACTTAGTATATGAATTGTTTTTCTAACATGTCAAATTTATATTTTTCATATAATAAGTAAATACGTATTTATAACTTGATTTATGTGTTTTAGAATTTATCAAATTTAAATTAAATACGGATGGTAATGGATTGGGTTGGATCGGATTTTTAGTCAACTAGCTTCAACCCGAAAAATATATACACTCCACCCGAACTTGATCCGAAAAACATATACCCTCCAATCGACTTAATCCGACCCAAAAATATATATCCTCCACCAGATCCGACCCAAATTTTTAGAGTATAAACCTAATCCAATCTGACCCGATATGAAATAAGGATTTAATTAGAAAAACAACAGAGAGAATATTATAGTAATTATCCATAATTTTTTTGAAAAAATTACACTAATACCCTCAAGTTGGGTCGGAATTTTTTAACACTCCACCCAAACTCAACTAAACTCAACCCGAATTATTTTTTAAAAAAACAGCCCAATTAGATCGGGTCAAAATCCGTTGATTTCGAATTAAATTATCATCCTTAAATTTAATATTTAATATTGATATTTTAATAATTCAATTACTAATGTGATCATTATATAGAAAAAAATCATCAATTCAACCTGCTTCTTGCTTTATATATATGCCAAATTAAAATTGAAAGTTCAATAGGCTACTTGGGCAAATCTCTACCAATATGCCAAATCAAAATTAATAGTCTTCCAAGGTGATAACTCTGAAATATTTCAATAGGGGATTTTGGATATTTCTTCAGCCAAAAATACAAGTGCCCAAGTAAACTAAAGAATGCGAACCCCTAATGTACAAATTACAACAATTGACTTACAAGGCACATTTCAATGAAAGCTTGTTAATGGTTTACAGTTGCAGCCTTACCAGTAAAAAACATCTATTCTCCTCATTTTATTATTTTTCCTCCCACATTCCGATTGATGTACTTTCTCCGGTCACTTACAAGTAAGCCAGCTTCCGTTGTCTGACAGTTCCAGTTCTTCCAAACAACTTGAGACATCAGGAACTATCCCTCCATTACGATACCTTATGATCCCATCACCCGCCAGATCAGTCAACAAATCAGCTGGTTCTTTGGCTCCTCCATGCTGCAAAAGTTTTGTTCTAAGTAATGTTCCAGTTGTTGGTGACAGAGGATCCTCTTGGCATAGCTTCTTCCATATGGTAGCCGCGAAACACTTGGCATACAAGTAGCTATAGTAACCTACCAAATTTCAGACATTTTTAACCACAAATATCACAGAAGATGAAAAATGCAAAATATGCAACTCCATTACACATCCATGCGAAGTGCAAACACACGGATTACGGTGCTCTAGTGCCTTAATTTGAGACCTATCAAGTTGCCGTATTCAGCACCCTGAGCTTGAGTCAGGATATGCCACTTGAGCTCATATTTTATTAAGAAAGAACAGAACAATATACTTTAAAGTTTAAACTTTTAACTGATTTATGATTATAAACTTTACCGGCCCCATAGGTGAGGAAGTGACTGAATCGTAGATGCATGTGTGTCCCCTCCACGTGCTTCTCATTGCTGTGTTGTCTTTTCAAATCTGCAACAATTGAACTGGTGTCTCTTGGCCCAGATACATGTTCTCCGAAAAGTGTTTGGTCAACCAAAGCATAAAATATCTATAAATGCCAAATGAAAGACAGAAAGCTTGGTCAATTCATAATCATTTCCGTGCATTAAATGTGCTTTAAAACATTACATACTGATTCATTCAGAGAATTAGATAAACCTGGCGTTGCAATTCAGTTGCTGCAAACATGTTTCTTGCACCATTTAGTGATTTTACCAGTTTCTCAGGTATCACTTCTCCAGTTGAGTAATGCTTGGCAAATTTCCTCAGGACCCGGTAATCCCGAGCGTAGTACCTAAAAGCATTATCAAATCGGTAAGTTGGTGATAAGGCACTGGACACGTTAAAATATTAAAATTCATAATACACGTGCATGCACAGTCTCTCTCCCTCTTTAGAATATCAGTTTAAATGAGCACATCAAGTTTAAAACAGACCATATATAAGAATCAACTATAGACCACAAATAGATGCATCTCCCCCATAGTGGGAAAACAACTCATACATTTACCAAAAATGAGGTTCGAAGCATTTCTGCTTTCCCCTCTGGGGGGTTGGCTGATTATTCGACATATTCTAAGGGCCAAAAACATTGAGACTGACTCTCTTGCTAAAAGAGGGATAGGTTGACTTCTCTGCAGGGTAGTTGGTAGCCTTAACCCAGTCTATTTTTGACGCAGGTGAAGTTGAGTGTGGGTAGGGGTTTAAGATGGTTTCACTGACATCTCCATGGGATGTGTATTTTGGTTGTAATAGTTTAAGCTATATCTGGGTTTCTAGTTTACCAAGTTGTACGAACAGCATTAGTTGAGTTTAGTTAATAATAATAGCTCTTGGGTACAGTATTTTCCCCCTTCCGCTTTTCGATATTGAACCTTGGTTTAATGTCGATTACGAAGGGTTTTTTTAATGAGGCCCCTCTACTTTCAAAAAAAAATTCTTAGTTTTCTCGGCTATGAAGAAATGTGTAAGTAAATTACAGCAGAAACTGCAGCATTCCACTTACTCAAATAGGTTCGAAGGTGTCTCAGCAAAGTCAAGAGCCACCCTTGTGCCTGAAAAATGTTGGTAATCCTACATGAATTGCCAAAATGATTATGATGAAAACAATAGGCTTAAACTGAACTTGCTTAATGGTAAAGTCTCAACAAACTACCGTTCTTGAGAGCAATGCATGAAGAGCATGTCCAAACTCATGAAATAGAGTTTCTAGTTCTCCGTGATTAAGCCGCACAATCGAGGAATCACGAGACCTTGAAAAATTGAAAACAAGGGCCATAACCTGCATAAATACCAATTTAAGTAAACTTTCAAATGAAATTAATATACAAACAACAAAAGAATTTTCAGGATAAATGAACAAGGAAAGCAAACGAATTTTATTTAAAGTATATCATAAACAAGAAAAATTGTTCAAATGAAAATCATAACATAGTGCTAGAAAGCAAGAAAAGAATATGCAGACAAAGCTAACCATCGTTTAAGTACATACAGGGAGTTGATATTCAGTGTCAGAAATTTTTCGTCCCCCTTTAATTGCAAAAGTAGCACAACCTGGATATTTGCCTTTCCTTGCAAACAGATCAAGGTAGAGATACCCTAAGTCACCCTGAAACAAATGCATAATGCCTAGTTATAATGTTGCAATATAAATGAAAATCAAGAAAAATCAGCAGAAATTTCCAACATGCATAAACTTAGTAACAGAAGCATCCATGTTTCTTATATTCAGTCTTATATTCAAATCTCTCCATAAAACAAATGCAAGTCTATTGCAGCATCAGAAATTAACCGGAATGCAACTATTGTACGAAAGAATTCAACACAAACATCAATATAGTGAAACAACAGCTAGGACTTAAGGCAATCATGAAAGTTAGAAACTTAAATTTTAGGCAAGAAAAACTTTGAGGGGAAAAAAGAATTAACCATCTTAAAGGGATTATCCTCTAATTATGAAGGAAATAAATTCCGAGCTCTAAACATATGCTTTCTGTCTTCTTAGTATTCTTCACAATATGAAGTTTTTATTTTTTACAACCTACTCTACACCTTTCCCTCATCTATTCACATACCTCTTCAGGATGATGAATACACATTTTAAGCACATCAGGATGCCATGATTCACCAGGGGCCATGGGAACACTATCAAATTTTGCACCAAAGAGTGACTTTACCAGAAGTTTCAAGCCCTCAATACACTGTGGCAGAGAAAAATATGATGCCACGACCTGCCACAATATTGGTATAAAATGATATTAAGAGAACCTAGATTATAGAAAAGAAAAAACTGGAACTTTAAGACGTTAAAAGATATGAGTGAAATGGAACTTTGATCATTATAAATTGTAAGCAAAACAGATTAAAGGTTATAACCTACAGAGGAGTCCAAATCGTAGACAGAAGAGTTCAACATTGTTTGGTAGTATGCCTCATCCCATGGTTCCAGATCTACACATCTTTGGCCACATATATCTCTCTTCAAATTTCTAATTGTCTTAAACTCCTGTAGGGAAAATAACAAATCAGTAGAATAATATAAGGACAATAGCATCTACAACCACCAATGAATCAACACCTCCTCACAAATTCTAATAAGAACCCCATTATACCTCATCAGCTTTTGTTTTGACCATGTTGCTCATCTCAAGCAAAAAGGACACTACCACCTCTGGTGACGAAGCCATGTTTAGTTGCATTACAAATTCAGCATATGATTTACGACCCATTATCTGTATCATTCAATAGAAGCAAATTAATAGCTCGCAAGTTATAAAAATTTATTTAAAAAACTATATTCTGAACTCTGAAAATAATCAATAATTTTACCCATACCACAATCATTTCAAGATATTCAAAGGAAGTTAGGATATAGCAGGTTATTATTTCTCGACATATAGCAACAACCATTTAAAACAAAATCGATATAAATGTCCTCCTCATCAAGCACGAAATTGTCCTAAAATTAATTACATTTGCGTTGCTAAAAGACTGGCAAAATTCCAGGAAATACTAAGTAATTTCTTGACAAAAAAATATTGGAACATCAAAAACAGTTTTGAGTAACTAAAATGAAGCCAGAAAATGAAGGATGCATTGCTGCTACAATAAGAAATATAATCCTGAAGCATTAACATTAACCTGAACCTAGAAGTATATCTTGATCTTGCTGCTTAGTTATATCACCTTCCCACATGGTTATCAATATTATCTTCCTAAAACTAGCCTCAAAATTCCTCTTGAACTCTTCAACCAACATAGAAATGAAATAAGTTTTAAATGCATTGTCAGGGACTTCCTCATTTTTTAAAGTTTAGAAAGCTTATAGTACTAATCCACGTTTGGAAAATATTCACATATGCATAAAGTGATTATTGTATCAAATCTCCACACCATATAAAATCCAATTTCATTATTGTTTTTTTTCCAAATTCGTACACGACTAAATTACCTGAGCAAGCTCTTGTCTGGAATCTATAAGTTCATCAAGAACTTTATGGTTTGCGTGCGGGACAGAATTCCCTTTTAAATATGCCATTTTCCTAACCTGAGAAAGTAAACGAAGTGGAAGATTTGGTTAGTTCTACAAAATTAAAATTTGCCAATAATAACTAATAAAACTTACCAGAGAGAATCTATAAAAAATCAATAACAGAAAGATGTTATTTGCCCAAATATAGCAGCCGGTACACAGATTTTGCTAGCTAAGCAAGTTTCAGAGTCGCTAAAAGGCAGAAAAGAGTTGCTGATTTCTTGAATCCAAAAGATGAAAGCTACCTGTTCATCTGTTGTCCACTGTAGAACAGAGGATAGAGTACGTGGCTCTGTTATGATCCGGAAACCCTTTTCTTGTTTATCATCAAAAGAGCCTAAGGACTCCTTTGACACTCCAGATGTCAGACGATAGATAGGCTTAAGGTGATGTTGTATTTGTCTTGGGATGCATGAGGCTGGAAAGACATCCACATGACCTGGGTCATTCATAATATTTTCACCATACCTGGGAGGATGTAGTAGCATACAAAATATAATCAAAACCTTGAAGCCACCTGCTTAAGCAATATATGATAATGCTACTGAAACATAGACAGGGACCAAAAAAAGTATGCTTACTCCCTGCATAGCTCGAGAGAATTCAGATTTAGCTGATTAACCCGGTCTAATTTTCCTGCAATAGGAAGTGAATGTTTACATGTTAGTTCCTAATCACGAAAAAAAGAATTTTTTCCTACATAATTCTCAGTATGAAAAGGATATTTACCAGAAGGAAGATGAATGCCACCCTTCTCAAAGTCAATTCGTAAGTGGTGTGCAGCTCTATGAGCTTCCGCAGTAAGCAAATTACCATCCTGCTCTGCCTTTTTCACCGCATTATAAAGAGTATGATTTGTATTGAGAAACTGTAATAATAATAAAACACAACAAAGCTTTTATCATCCAATAGAACATAAATCACCAATGCTTATGGAATGTTTAGAAAAATAATGCAAAACAAGCCAGTTTGACCGGCCTACAATACACCAAAATTAGTTTTGAAATGTAGTTTCCCCCGAAATAAATTATTAATCCCGAAGCATCATGAAAAGATATATTATCATTGCTTTAGCAAAAGACCGTAAGCACAAGGGAAAAAGTACTTCTATTGTTAACATCATCGGTCACCTCACATGTAGATATTCATTAATTCTCATCGATGCTTTGTTAGCCTCCTCTACAAATCCTCTGAAACGACAAAAGTAATAACTATATGAATAAAATAAAATTCTAAATCAACATACGATAGCTATACTCATTCAAGATTAACAATAAATAACCTGGCTGGATGAGTTTGTCTACAGAGTTCTGCCGAATCAACAACAGAGCAGACCTACAAAAATGAACTATTAACGAAGACATTTCTTAAAAATTATATTAACAAAGAAATATATATGAATATAGAAATGAACCTACAGTGTCCGAAATCTCATCCATGGCTCGGATTATTTCAACCGAAGATGGCATGCCAGATATATAATCAACCAGCTCAACAGACCTAACAACCGGAAAAGAATAGGAGTAGAAATTAAAAGTGAGTCTAAAATCCATCCATAAGTATATATTCAAATTGTTCACTGATTGTATTAATCGCACTGAAGTTTTTGAATCTCAAAGCTGCCAAATAAGTGAGAAACTTTGAATAAAAAAGATATTGAGGTTATTCGTGAAGTAATTTGGAGCGACCTATTACCTCTCAATGGCGTCATCGGCGAAGCGTTGGAAACCTTCAGGGGACTTCAAGTGATCAAAACCGTAAAGACCAGTGGGGGACGCGTTTTGTCTGTCAACGGCGTGGGTTCGAAAATGGCGGTGATTACGGAATGGTTCAAGCAGACGTTTCATATGGATATTAGTACCGCGCTTCCTGATAAAGTTCCACATTTCTGTGCTCGTACTAGCGGCTCTGCCCTCCAGTCGTTTGTGCTTTTGTCAAAGAACTAGAACAAGCGCTTGAGTGCTGGAAATGGACCGGGGCGGCGTTTGCATCCGTTCCTGCAGGTGCTTTCACAAAAGAAAAAGGAAAATGTGCTTGGGCTTTGAAGTTAAGACAAATCTCAACAATGTACTAACGATGTCCAAGCCCGGTTCAAATTGTGGTTTAATATTTTTCTTAGTTAAATGTATTAGGTTACATTTCTTATTATTTTAAACTTTAACTATTAATATCTATTAAAAATATTTTATAAATATGTCATATATGACTTAATTTTTAATTACTTTTTATTTTTTAAAAATTCATTTTTTAAAATTTTTCAAAAAAAAAAAACTAAAACTCCTTCCATCATAGTCAATTCACTGTTGAAACCATCACCATCCATCTCTTTTCTAATTCTCATCTTTAGTCACACTTTGTGGTCGAATTGAAATATTGTTGATACTAAATTGGAAAAAAAACTGTTACATATCTAACTGTTTGAAAATATATTTCATAATTATGTATAATAAATATTAAAAAGAGAAAATAACCTCAGTGACCAAAAATGTCTTATAATATACGATTTTAACTAATTTTTTTTGGATTTGCCAAAATGACCAACAAAATCGCAATGCGAAATAAAAATCGCAACGCGATCTCCAGAATCGCAAATCAGTTCCCAGAATCGCAACGCGATTATGAAGAATCGCAATGCGATAGTACAAATTAGCATTGCGATTTTCCAGAATCGCAACGCGAATATGAAAATCGCAACGCGAACATATAAATCGCAACGCGATTCTGACTATCGCAACGAGTATTCGTAAAATCGCAACGCGTATTCGTAAATCGCAACGAAAATACGTAAAATCGCAATGCGTATCCGTAAATCGCAATGCGAATACGTAAATCGCGTTGCGATTACGTAAATCGCAACGAGATTCTGACTATCGCAATACTGAATTTCAAATTCGCAACTCGATTTCTGAATTCGCAACAGGTTTTAATTTCGCAACACAAATGTTTTGGGTATATAACTACGCAGCAGCAGCAACTCATAACCTAAATCCCTAAATTGCAACTCATTACATCTCCATCTATCACTCTCTCCGGCGACATCCGTTCCTATATCTAACGACATCCTTCCCCATCCGGCAACAGGTTTTAGTTTCGCAGCTCGTTTGTTTAGTAAATTAATTTACAATAATGAAATCATCTAATGTTTATCATGTTTTGATAGATTTGTGTTTTGGAGGGTCATGGGAGAATGTTCATGGTGTTTTACAATATATGCCTTTACCCATGAATCTTCAACTAAAACTGTCATTAAAAAAGTTAACTTATGAAACTCTAATATTACGTGTTGCAAATAAATTGAATTTAGAGCCCCTAAGTGGATTTAGGCTATCTTATCAGAGAAATGGTAAAGTTTATTTGTTAACCGACAATGAAGATGTTGAACGATTCATTGTTTACATTAGTGTTTCAAGTGATGATGTTACATTGTATGTTGTTAAACCTAGAAGTAGTGAAGTTGGGTCAGTAGCGGGTAGTAATCAACTAAGTTTTTCAACCCCAGTTTATGGTGCTCAAAATGTAATGGTTCCACCACAATTTCATCACCAAGCAAATATTGTTTCACCACATTTCCAATACCAAACACAATCTCAAAATCCACAACCTTTCCCTAATCCAAATCCCAATCAACTTTCAGCACCAAAATCCGGTTTTCGTATTGACTAGTTAGACGATGATGAGCCAACAGAAAAAATTGTGAGTACTAGTCAGTATTCGAAATTTGATCTGGGTCAATACCCGGACTTTGATCTTGGTCAATACTCGGATTTTGATGATTTTTCAGAAGAATAAACAGACCCTGAGTGTAATGATTTTGATATTGGTCAATACCCGAATTTTGATAATGAAAAAACCGTTGCCGAGGAAGATGTTATTGATGATAATGAGGAGGAAGTTACGACTGTAAATGAACATGTTGAACATCCATTCTGTAATTCATATAACACTGAAGAAGAAAAAGAAGAAGAAGAAATCCCCAAAGAAAAGTCCCCGAAGAAAATACCACGGGAGTATAACTGGAATATGCCAGAATTACTTCAGATACCGGAAGAAGAGTTGGCAAAGATAGCAGTTGATTGTTATACAAAAATTATTCGTATCAAGAAAGATGATTGTTTTGATACAAAGGAAGACTTGAAGATAGCTTTGTATACGAAATGTGTGGAAGATGACTATCAACTAAAAGTTAACAAATCAAGCAAAGATCGTTTCGAAACAAGGTATATGATTGACAAAAACTGTATGTGGCGTATGATTGCAAAGAGGATAAAAGATTGCGAAATGTTTCAAGTTAAGACTTTTATTGATAAACATACATGTTCAAGAACCCAAGTTTTTCCTTACCATAGACAGGCAAACAAAAAGGTGTTGGGTGGTTTTCTGGCTGAGTTAATGTTTTTGAATGGTAGGGTATATCGGAGACATGAAATTATGACTGACATGAATGCTCGGTTCAAGATTAGTATCTCATATTCTCAAGCTTGGAGAGCCAAATGTTATGCCTTGGAATTGTTGAGGGGGTCGCCAGAAGCATCGTTTGCCCAACTGCCGGCTTATTGTCACAATTTAAAGTTGAAAAATCCTGGGTCGGTAACTCATATCAAAACAGATAGAGATGGACGCTTTGAGTTGCTGTTTATCGCCATTGGTGCTGCGGTTAGTAAATCAATATAATTTTGTTGACTCATTTTTTGTTAGTTACATGCATTTCACATTTAAATGATTATATTTCTTGTGTATATGATTTTTTAGATTCGTTCGTTTATTAATTGCATGCGCCCAGTTATTATAGTTGACAGAGCACATTTAAAAGGTCGATACCTTGGAGTAAACTTATTAGCAGTAGCCATGGATGCTAACAATGAGATACTACCAATAGCTTACGGGGTTGTCAAATCTGAAACCTCTGATTCATAGACATGGTTTATGGGGCATCTTAGGGATTGCATATGTCCTATTAGCAATCTGACAATCATATCTGATAGGGCAAACTCAATTGACAACGCTGTTAGAAGGTGTTTCCCATATGCTTTTCATGGACTTTGTGGTGTTCATTTGTATAGAAATCTAAAATCAAGGTCTGCTGGTATAAAAATCACAAATGGACATACTGGAAGGCTGTAAAAGGTTATCGGGAAGTGGATTTTAATAAGCATATAAACTGTTTAAGACGTGTTTTGCCTCAGTGTGCTCAAACACTAGAAGATGTCGGGTTTGAAAGATGGTCAAGAGTACATCAACTTGGAACAAGATATGGTTTCATGACGTCTAATAGTGCAGAATCAATCAACGCTCTAAGTCGTCATTCTCGGAAATTACCCATTACTATGTTAATGGAGTTTTTTCGAGCCTCTATTCAACAGTGGTACTACAAGAAAAGAACCATGCATGTATTATTTCTTTAAATTCGTAACTTATCATATATTTTACTAAGTATTATTTATTTAAATTTACAGGAACATTGGAACATCGTGTTACACCATGGACAGAAAAAAAGATAACGAAACGTGTTGTGAAGTCAACGTCATGGAGAGTTGAACCATGTTCAAACACTTTGTTTGAAGTACTGGATAATAACTTAAATGGGCTTATCGATCTAAATGCAAAGACGTGTAGTTGTATGAAATGACAAACATCTGGTTATCCGTGTGGCCATGTTATAAAAGTTTCTCTTCATCTAAACCAAGATGATTGAAGCGCATACGCTATGGATTGTTGCACTACAGAAGTATATCGACAGACTTATGGCGAGATTGTCTACCCTATTCCACATCCTTCTGAGTGGGACATACCAGATGACTTACAAACAGTTTTGCCACCAGCCATGGACAGAAGGCTACCTGGCCAACCAAAAAGTCACGATCGTATACCGTCTAAGGGTGAAGAGAAGAAGAGATCGACATGTAGTCGGTGCAAGGAAAGTGGTCATACAAGGTTGACATGTGGATCACCAGTGCCATCACAATCATCTTTAAAATCCCAATCACAACCGGCTTCACCTTTTGGGACTGTTAACTTAGGTGATTTTTAAATGCAAACGTTGCATTATGTGGATTTTATGTGTGAACTTTTAACATTTTCAGTTAGACATGTATTAGTAACTTGAGTTTGAAAATTGCTATGATTTGTTCAGTTGTTATCACTTATTAGACATTCATTTGACTATCGCAACACGTAAATGACGTCTGTAATCATCTTAATGTCTATCGCAATGCGAAATGAAAATCGCAATGAGAGAATCACAATGCGAAATGAAAATCGCAACGTGAAAATCGCAACGCGAATATGAATATCGCAACGCATAAATGACTATCGCAATGCGAAATGAAAATCGCAACGAGAGAATCGCAAAGCAAAATGAAAATCGCAACGCGAATTTAGTTTCGCGTTGCGATTTTGTCGTTGAGATTTTCATTTCGCATTGCGATTCTCTCGTTGCGATTTTTATTTCGCATTGCGATAGTCATTTTTGTAACACCCCCAACCCATACCCGACCCGGATATGAGTCAGAGATACTACATTGACTTTAAAACACAACTCTTAATAAATAATAGTAAAATGTTTGTACTTGTATTAAGAAAATACAATAATATACATACTGTAATATAAGTTTACCAAAATATTCAGAGCATACACAACTTAACCCTTTAATTACATGCCAACTGCTATTACATCACAAAATGACCTACTGAGTAAGTTGCTTCTGATCTGATGGTTGCAGGATTAATACTGTCCAGCTGCTTCACCTGTCTCTTCTAATTTCCCGGATCCTACGTGTGAAACACTCACACGCTAAGTCATCGACTTAGTGAGGCAATAATAATAAGGCAATGTAATGTAATCAAAATGTCAGGATCATATGATATGAGATGCAAACATGTACTTAATCAATATAGTATACTTCATCAATATCCATACCTGTAAGCGTATGACTGTAACATTCATTATTCTGTATTAATTAAGTTTATTGGCCCATGATAGCATATTGAGAACCTAAGGTATTTGAGTAATTTGAGGTTGTGCACTATGCTGTCACCACAGCTCGTATAAATGCAC